CTCGACGATGCGCCTCGTGCCGTCGGCCTCCAGAAGGGAGTAGCTGCCCTGAACCTGATCGCCGTTACGTGTCTCCTGCTGAGTCTTGGCGTCCCCGGTTATGCCATCGTGGACGTCGTACGAGTAGCTGTACTGGGGGTTGGGGTCGTACTCCTCGTCGACGGTCTTGGCGATGACGGCTTTGGCCACGGGAGCGGCCGCATAGGCGACCGGAGCCGCGTGGACCGCGTGGGCGACAGGCACCGAGTGAACCGCCGGTCCCGGTGAGTACGAGAGAGGCGCTGAGTACGCGACTCCTGCCGGGGCCAGGAATCCAGCCTTGGTGCAGGCCACCACGGCCGCAAGGACGACGAGCTGTTGAATGGAAGGGACCGAGGGCCCGTGTTAATCGGTTAACAGATCAGCGAATCATGGTTGCATAAGCAACTAGAAATTGCGCAATTTGCAATGTATCCTTTTTATTATGGAAATATAAATTTTTCAATATAGATCTATAATTTTTATACAATTTATTTGAACACTTCAATGAAGATAAACAAATGTGATCTGATATAGATTTCGTATAATTCGTTTTTACATCAATATTTCTTTGCACATTATAAAAATTTTTAATACCTATTTATATAGGAAGAAATGATCTGGAAATATTTGATAGAAAGATCGATCCATAGTCGATATCGTGTGTGCTCTAATATGTATATTTCGTTTAATCGTACAAATTACATTTATTAAAGCGCAATTTTTGTTGATAAATTTATAAGCATATTTATTAATATGGTCCAGTCGCAATGGTAATCTAAGTTTCCGTTAACATTATTAAATTAGGATATTACAAGATATAAAGCAATATGAGATAAGCAAATTTGTGATTATTAATCAAGCGTTTTTATAAATGAAAAATTCAAGGGTTTGATCGTGAAACTCGATCTCTTGCTTCAAGTCTTACCTTAAAAGCCATTGTCGAATGGGCGTTGAGCTGCTCTAAATTGCGAATGATGTAAAACTGTGGAAGACCTTTGCTTATATACCCGATTTTTGGCACATCAGGGCCGTTCCCGCTTCGACTATCGCACCAAACAAGCCATTCTCTTGCCAATAATTACGCTGGAAAAAATTGTTTATATATTAAAGTTAATGATACAAAAAAAAAAAAAAAAAAACAAATATAAATTTAAACTCGAATTTTACGTCGGTTATTTCTTACTATAGTCTTAAATGTAAGATAAACTTGTATAAATCATTGGGTAAAAAGCTTAAAGGATATTTAATGCTAATAATTAATGGTCCGCAATAAGGTATTTACCGTGATAAAAGCTATAAAGAATATTTATGAAACCTCTTGAAAGTTTAATAATTAATTTAATCTTATTGTTTGTAACTTATAATTTTATGAAATATTGTTTTATATGTTTAGTTAATATAGTTATCGATATATAATATAAATATAATATTTTATCATAGCATTGAAATTGCAAAAAACAAAGATCATTTGTTAAATAATAATTTTTGTTCGCATTTCTTCTAGTCCTTGAGAAAAATGAAATCAAATTTTGCATATGTTTCATTTATATTATAGCCGAACTTGTATAACATGTATGTGGCAACTTCAAAATTTATCAATCCATTAAAAGAAATTCATCACCTGTCATACCCATTTCTTTCTATCAAATATTATATTATCATAGTTTATTCATCTCTATATGTCTAATAGTTCTTTACAATTTTTCAATTCAAATTCAGTTTAATATTTCGATATTTCTCACTAATTTTTTTTTATTTTATTTTTTTTTATAACCATTGGGTTTATTATGTTTTTTGTAGTGAATACTTCGAATCAACTTCACTTTCGACGTTGATAATAATTTATATAACTTAATTTTAAAAAAAAATTTAAATATTATTATAACTTTATAATCATGCTACTATTTATGTAGCCATAATTTTCAGTTTATATTAAAAAAGAAAAAATAAAATAACGGACTAATGGCATACATATGTCACTGTTTTAATCCTTTAAATGCGTTCTTTTTTATATTTAATCTGTAAATTCTTTTTTACAAAAATATAATCACAAAATGACATAATTGAAATAAACTATAATTACCTAATGTTTTTACTAATTGTAGCTTAACTAAGTATTTCATTAAATTTATTTTCAATATCAATAAATATTGAACGCAAGATGTTGAGTTTATTCCTATAAAATATGAATAAAACGAAATTGTTATTTTCTTCCGAATATGTTTATTTATAAATTATTTAATTATGTATTCTTTTTTTTTAACTACAGTAGTGCATGTATAATAAAATTAAATAATTTTATTATTAGTAATGGACTTTTAAGGATATAAAAATTTCAATTACTAGTAATTTGAATGTATATTTATTTTACGACTGTCACGCTTTAATCAATGAAACCTTGAACTTTCGACAACAGTGTATTAGGATTCAGTGTTTCGTACCTTTTCTCTGAAGTTCGGCAGCACCAAATTTACCTACCTATCATGCATACGTACATATCATTAAATTCTAATCGTATTTAATGTCTGTTATAATAGAAGAGATTTCATGTTAAATTATAGGTTCATTGTCAGAATTATATTTCTTTAAAAAAATATTAAAAAATATTAATATTAAAAAAATTCTTACTAAAAATGAAATATAGACAACAAAACAATCTTGCAAAAATTAAAATTTCAATCAGTATTTTAAATAATTACAAAATTGTTTTTATTTTCAAATTTGTCGGCACAAATAATTATTGTAATGATATAATATCTTTGAATAGTATTTAAATATTGCAATAATCAAGACATATTACATTTTATATAATTTTTAAAAACTATATAATCATATTCTATAATAATTAAATTTTGAAAATTTTACGCATAGAACTTGCTAGATTTCACAATTTCATAAGTATGTGGTAACATAAATTTTCGATATTTATATTTTTTATCATAGAGATTTTAATATCTTCTATTATCTTTATGTTATAATTTTTTTCACTTTCCAACTACATTACACATTGTTCTTAAAAAAACTGGTATTTACAATATATATTTTTGAAGTCCTTGAATTAAAATTAATTAAAACAACAATCAATACTTTTTATTATTCTTTCAACATTAATTTTCTAGTTGCCATAGAATTTAACTTTAAAATCTAATTACTGAGTTCCATATTAATATACGTAATATAAGAATTTAATTTATAATAAATATATAAAAAAAGTTTATTTCATTATACACAGCATTAAAATTATAATCTTTAACTTATTCGACTATTTATATCTGTTCATTATTTTAAAAGAAAGCAAATAAAAATTATAATTCAGGGTTTAGTTACATCATTAATTTTTATCAATCAATTATTTTTGCTGTATACTAACGACATAAAAAAAATGTTTGTACATCTAATATCATGCAAAACAAAATAAAAAATTCTAAGATTTTTATGATTCTACTATTAATCATTACAATATTAACTTACTCAAGCGTTTTAAACAGTTAATATTTTATTACTAATATAGATGATATGAGTTCAATATGGATGAAAAAGTGTTTGAAGAATAGTAATAAATTAAAAATAATATAAAATTAAGTTTAATTACTGAATCAAATACTTCATGAACTACATTTTCTTATAAAGTATTTTAATATTTACTAACATTTTATAGGTTTATTTATTAAGAATATTGAAAATGGTAATTAAATATTTCAATTAAAATATAAAAAAAAACAAATGCAAACATAAATCAATATAATATTTTACGTAATCAAATTTAAACTTAATGTTTCTTTGAAAAAATTAAAAGTATAATAATCATAAAATATTTAGAATAGAATAATCAACCATTTTTATGATAAAATTATTCTTTATTTTTATCACAATTATAGAAAAATATTAATTTTTATACTCATTTTTCTCAAATTTATGTTGAAAATTGTTTTACTACATTTTTGTTCAAATTCTGCTACATGTTATTTAGGAAAATCATAGAATCAAATGTTTGTTTACATAATGAAAATTTTAAGATAGATATGAGTGTGTACGTACACGTATAAGTATAAAAATTTACATAAAGAAATAATTTGGTAATAATGCAACCTATTCAATAATATCACTAATCTTGTCGATCAATTTAAGTTAAATAGCACTGTTGCTAAAAAAGTATCCGACTAATAATCTAGTAACATATATCCACTTTTTAAAAAATTAAATACTGCATAAATGCCATACCATTAATATATAAAAATAGAAGTTTTGATATATTGTTATATATATATATATATATATATAGTTCTGAGTCATTTCAATTTCTGACTCTGTACAAAATAATTTTATAAATGCTTATATATTTTTTTATAATTAAAAAGATAAGGGGCAAATATTATCGATTAGAGCTAATTCATTTAAGAGTAATCAAAACTTGGAAACTGTAATAAATAATATATGATCAAATACAATAACTATTGATGAATGTAAAATTCATTGTGAAATATATCGAATGATTATTCAAGTCTATGAGAAACGAATATTTCAAAGTAAAGAAAAATAATTATTATTTTAAACATTAAATAATCAGAATCAGAAACATAATTACATATGAAATACAAAAAAAATTCAAGCTTAATATATATGAATTTATTTATTTTTCAATCATACATTATTTCATTCGATTTAAAACAAGAGTAATTTTATCGTTAATTATAATAAACTGATAATTTTAACAAAATTATTATAAATCGATCAGTGGCATACAAACAATTTAACATAATTCTGTATAAGCAATATATTTATTTTCGTTTTTAACTTTTTAACTACTTTTTGAGGATAGATCAACTTCCAACATCATTCATTGAATTGATAATATTTTCACATAAAATAATTATTATAATAGATTTGTACGATTGGCGATAAATGAAAAAACGAAAACGAATTTGACTTCAAGTTAGAGGTGGTAAAATGTAAATTAGATAGTTATGTAATATCAAAGCTGTATCGAACAATTTTATTGAGTATATTTACAGAGTTCGTCGGATAACTTAATTTACAAAAATACAAAGAGTCTATCGAAAACGGTCACCCCTGCACAAGTGCAGCAGTGCAAATAATATGATAATCAGTCGTGGTATAGGATTAGAGAGAGTCCTTATTGTCCTTAATGTGCGTCGCAAGATTATCAAGATGATCACGTGCCACGCTGCTGCCGCTGCTGTGCTGTTGCTGCTGCTGGTAGATGCTGTACTGTTGATGACGATATGCTTAGTAGTAGTTGTGAGACTTGATGATGGCAGCGGGTGCTGCGGGGGCGGCGTAGGCCACCGGTGCCGCGGGCGCGGCGTAGGCCACAGAGGCAGCAGGAGCGGCGTAGGCTACAGGGGCAGCGGGGGCGGCGTAGGCCACCGGGGCCGCGTGAACCTTGGCTACAACGGGAGCGACGGCCTTGACAGCGACCGTCGCGGGCTCCTTGTGGACTACGGCGTTAAAGCCATTCTGGGGGTCGGCCGTGTACTCGACGATGCGCCTCGTGCCGTCGGCCTCCAGAAGGGAGTAGCTGCCCTGAACCTGATCGCCGTTACGTGTCTCCTGCTGAGTCTTGGCGTCCCCGGTTATGCCATCGTGGACGTCGTACGAGTAGCTGTACTGGGGGTTGGGGTCGTACTCCTCGTCGACGGTCTTGGCGATGACGGCTTTGGCCACGGGAGCGGCCGCATAGGCGACCGGAGCCGCGTGGACCGCGTGGGCGACAGGCACCGAGTGAACCGCCGGTCCCGGTGAGTACGAGAGAGGCGCCGAGTGAACCGCTGGTCCCGGTGAGTACGAGAGAGGCGCTGAGTACGCGACTCCTGCCGGGGCCAGGAATCCAGCCTTGGTGCAGGCCACCACGGCCGCAAGGACGACGAGCTGTTGAATGGAAGGGACCGAGGGCCCGTGTTAATCGGTTAACAGATCAGCGAACGACTGTGATTATAGTTAGGCAATGAAATTGTAATTGACCGTTTACATTACAGATAGGAGTCGCGTTAGCCGTGATATTAATATTTTCTTTTGAATGTGAAGCAATTGGTTATCCAAGTATTTCTAAGTAATATTAATGATTATTTAAATAAAAGTCTTATTACGAGAATGGTTTCGGTCAAAAAACTAAAGATTAAAGATTTTGCATAATTTTCAGAAAGTATTATTGAAAATGTTGCAATGATGAATAATAAGGCAGAGTTAATTTTAAGCAATTGTTATTTTGGTAAACAATTAACCCGAAATGATCGTGCACGTGGAAGACTCGCGCTATGTAAAAGGGCCTGGGTCTTACCTTAGCAGCCATTATGAAATTACAATGATGGTGCGGAGACGAAGCGTGCGAGTTACGACTACCGACTGACTGATGCTGTAACATTGGAAGAGCCTGCTTATATACTGAATTTTGGGCTGGCCAGGGTCGTTCCCGTTTCGTTTGCCGTCGAGACGATTGCCCCTCTCCACCCGACAATCCCGCAGGCGTTGATCCCAGCCGGTGCGTTATAACCCCCGGGACGCTTCTTTCTTCTCAGTTGCTACGGCGGAGGGGAGGCGTTTGTAAACTTGATCCACTTTTGTGCACCAATCGAAGAGTTAATGAGGTTCATTCAATGGTTTGTCACTATGCCGGTTTTGTTGAGCGGGCGCTGACTGATTGTATTGGTCGATAGGGGCCTGTGCTTTGTCTGGCATTTTAAAAAAAGCCGATAAGTCTTTGCATCAAAGAATTTGCATCCAACGGTAATTAATAATCCTTTCAAATTTAAGGATAGGGCTTATACAGCTTACAGGTTATAAAATAAATGCATGAAACGTTATTGATTGAAAGAGAGTCCGACGTATTGCAAACCTTCGGGTTATTTAATTAGTAATAATAATGCGACGTTCGAGGCTGAAGTATTGAAATATATAGAACAATAGCGTATCATCAAGTCGTCGTTATCCCGAAGAATCGAAATTTGTTTTCTTGCAAAAGAAATAAAAGCAGTGTCACTCTGTCGTCTGTTTTTTGCAGTAATCTGCTGTTTTTCACTCTACTACGCAAGGTCACCTGTAACTCCAGTCACTCAATTGTGTAAGTCATTGCATCACCTTTCACTCCTGAAAGCGCACGATTAACGCGGACGAACTCCGCTGGTATAATATCGTGTAATTTCTTTGGCTATAGCTAAACGAGATACTTCTCTGAACCACACGATTTAAATAAAGTTTTTTGCTGCAGTTGTTGGGAAAAAAATAATGAATGCTATAAGCACATTTATTTTACTCGGGGATGAACGCATTCACATTCGAATTTCTCATGCCCAGTGATTCGATATAAAAATTTAATTTCTTATCTAAAAATCATAATAACAACAATGTCAATGATAATAATAACAGCAGAAACAACAGCAACAACAGCAGAAATAACAGCAACAACATCAACAAAAACAACAACCATAATAATAATAATGATGATAGTGGTATGATCAAATTATACAATAATTGTATCACTTTTGTTTATGTAATTTTAAATAAATATATATCAAAGTATAAAATATTCTGATTATTTAAATTTTCTGTAAAAGCATTTTAACATAGCGTATAACAATGATAAAGTACAGTTTTTTTATAATAAAATTTTTTTCAAATATTTAAGACTGTAGTTGTTGTAACTGGAGTTACTATTTTTGAAATGATGCTGATTTTTGTTCAAATCTATAAAATTATTATATATTCATACTATTACTATTCATACTATTATATATTCATACTATTATATATTCATATAAAATTACATGTCAAAATACAAATTTTTATTTTAAAAATTTTGAAGTATTTGAAAATAATAAACTCGAGGAAGAATATTGTAAAATATACAATTGTTTAAAAGAACTGTTAGGGGCAATTCACTAAAGGTATACAAGAATATTTACTTACCTTTGACTATTTATATCCTTATTATTTCTCATTATTACAAGAAATACGAGAGATTTAACTCAAAAGAGTCATTTTAATCATACGTAGTATGATGTAATAAATAAGATCGAAATGAACAAAATTATACAGTATTTACTGCATACAAATATTAAAGAATCATTAACTCTTACAACAAAAATCGTTTTCAAATCTAACTCACTTTAAAAAATGTTTAATGAGCAGCAATTTAAAAATTGTGAGAGATGAAATTTTTTCAATAAAATTGATGTATTACGTTAATGGCGAAAAATGTGTATCTACTTATAATTTTGGAAATTAATTCAATCCGTGCGCATATCAAATCCACTCGCTTTCCCCTCTCTTATCACTTTACATTTTTCTGCACTTCGCCAATGATTTCCTCCCATCATCTGTCGATACCAACAGTCTCCGGCTCATCAAATTTACGGGGATTACATAAATCTTCTCTAAATTAACCAAACACTGGATTCAAAGGTCGAATTACCGACGCGGTAGCTCGTACGCGTAACTATTTTGTAATCTCATCCACGAGATAGTAAATGGGCAAACCCAGGATTCGTAATATCACGGTGACCCAATTCTCTGACGAGAGTGAAACAATTTGTCATCGGAATGGAGTGGTCTATTGCGTCTCCGAAAACGGATTTACGAGGGTTCGGGATTCAGGAAGTAAGCCAACCTTCGGCGGCTGCGATCTTTGCTTTATGCTTCGATCACGAGATATGCCCAGCGGATCGATTATCGACGTATAAGCGGAGGGAGAAGTTTCGTTAACGAAATGACCCGCAAAGGCGTGGTGAGAGGTGCCAAAAATAATTCAGGTTCATTCTTTGTTGATCTAGTATATAAGGAAGACTAGGCCTGCAATTCAATATCAGTCTCAATTCAGAAGTCATCTAACAATCAACATAAACATGGGTTTCAAAGTAAGTTTAGTTGGGAAAATTGATTGATTTCATCTTTATCAAATATTACTTATAAGTGTCCATATTCATAGGCCTAATCGTATTATTTGCAGCTAACAACGAAAGTATAACGTCATTAAATATAATAACGATTGTATTTAACATTTAATTGTGTTGTTAAGCGAGTGCTCCGAAATAACCATGCTAAATAATATTCTTTATAATAAATTCGTGGATAATTTTAATCCAAAGACTCCATTGCTGATCTCCCAATTATATTCAAAAATATCTAATGTCACGTAAATTAAATCACGTAAAAGTACGGTACCGAGAGCATAAATCCTACATTGGCTAAATCATCTTTCGTTTCAGCTAATTGCTCTCGTAGCCTTCGTCACCTGCGCCAACGCCGGATTCATCGGCTCTCCAACTCTCTCATACGCGGCTACACCGGCTATTCATGCGGTTCATGCGGCTCCGGTCGCCTACGCGGCCGCTCCCCTAGCCAAGGCCGTCATCGCCAAGACCATCGACACCGAGTACGATCCCCATCCCCAGTACTCTTACGCATACGACGTAGCGGACTCGCTGACCGGGGACTCTAAAAGCCAGCAAGAAACGCGCGACGGCGACGTGGTGAGCGGCAGCTACTCACTCTTGGAGGCCGACGGCACGAGGCGAGTCGTGCACTACACCGCAGACGATCACAATGGCTTCAACGCCGTCGTCGAGAAGCAGCCCGCAGCGATCGCCTACAAGACGGTCGCCACGGCCCCCGTCCTCAAGACCGTCGCACCCTACCCGCTCTCATACGCAGCATCATCTCCGTTGATCAAGGCCGTTGCACCAGCCCCGGCTGTGACCTACAGTAGCCCGGTTGTCAATACCTACGCCGCGGCACCGACTCTTGCCTACTCAGCGCCCCTCCTCAAGTCATACGCCGCTCCAAGCCCCGTAGTGAAAACCCTCGCACCGCTTCCTTACCCATCGCCCTATACCCACTCCTACGCAACGCAATACTCTCAGAGCTTCTCCGCGCCCGTCGTCACTAAGTACGCGGCAGCCCCGACCCTCGCCTACTCTAGCCCCGTTGCTTACAATGCCGCCATCCCCGTGGCTCACTCGTCGGTTCCGGCAGTATACGCCGCGGCTCACGAGTACGCGAGCAAATGGTAAGCCCCTAACCGATGAAAAGCATAATCATGTGGTAATCATGTTTTACGTTGCGATTATGAAGAATGTCGGACGAGTTTTTATTAGGTTTTTATTAGGGTTAGTGAGTCATGAATTAGAGTCGAGCTTAAGCCCGTTCGGCAATGGGATTGATTAACCGTCCGACCGTTGACTTGCTCGCGGATATGGAAAAACGTTCAACTATATACCTTGAAGGGTGTCAGTGCGATAATATTACCAATTATGATTCATTTTGTTAGAAAATCCATTACGATTAGTCGGTGGCTTTCATTTCGATGATTACAGTACACGTAGATTATGAATTTCATTGGGCCAAAAACTCACGATCATGGGGATATTTACTAGTTAATACGTATCAACAAAACGTAAACGCTGATTCTGATGTAACATGGACATTATTGTAACTATCATTTTGACATTGTTTATGTTAATAAACATTAATGTACACTCATCTTAAAACAAATTATTTTTTGATTCCCTGATCATTTGCACGAACATTGCGCCAAATTATCATTATATTGTCAAGATTTCGTTTGTCTAGTAAACTAAATATTTTGTATTTAGTTGTAATGAAAAGTCTGGCCGAAGTCGCATGGAAAATCATAAATTACATTTGTAGACTTACGAATGCACGTACTAAAAGTAACGGGTACGTGTGCCAAAAATTGCAGTCGATATTGTTGAAAATAGCGACTAAAGAATAAAGAGAACATGGCAATCTTAATTCACTCTTGCATCCTGGCATAAAGTGCCTGAAATAATAATTATACATTGATGTCACCGAGAGAACTGTACAGACAATATTATTAATACACTTCCAAATAAAAATGCAAAGAAAACCTTTCACTTCTGAAACAAAAAATGAATATTAACAATAAGAAAACAGAAAATAAAAAACGAAAGACAAAAAAAATAAATAACTTACTAAATGAGCAAAAGGAAAAAAGAAGTATATACTTAAATAATAATAATAATAATAGGTATGGTTTCAAGGTCTCAGAGGCTAGCATAATTTCAATATACATGAAAAACTGTCGGAACGGGCCCGATCACTCTTTATTGAGAGCGAAATGAGCATATGCTGGATCTGCGCGTCAAAATTTAAGATAATGATCGTGCGTGTATGCGCGGACTAGAGAACGTATAATATGCGATTGCGCAAAAAAAAAAAAAAATGAAAAAAGAGTGAACCGATGAAGAAGAGATCTCGTTGTTCTTGAAAATGTGGCATAAATTTTATCTGATTCGATGAAACAATGTATGTTTAAAGCCGCTAATGGTTTGAGGAACGGTAAGAGAAGCTTAATTTCAACTTCTATGATGTACCAATCGTAAAAACAAGCGATGCGCAATGATGAAACTGAAATCAAGAGAGAAATTCATAGTGGATTGGTGCTGCCGTAGATGTTATTTTCTGATGCCTGAAGAAGAGGTGAGAGTTAACCTATATGCGTGGCTGGATTAAACGATTTAGAATCAGTCGTGAGATTCATACGAATGAGGCATCATGTGTTCGGTAAGTCGATTACACTTACTATTTCCATTTTCCTACGAATTCTTAGTCAATATCTATATCGACCGCTTCTTTGCGCAATTCCTTCAATCCGAACTAAATAATTTGGTTTTGCTTTGTCTTTTTTATGTGGCGCAAGTAGCTACTACCTAACATTGAGCATAATAATATGCAAATGTGTTGTTGGTGCGCGGTAAGTTGTAGCAATAGCTATTAATTATTAATTTTTTGTCATTGATTCTTTGATACGAATCTAATTAATAAATACGTTTCACCAATTTATTACATTATATAATTGAACAGCGCCAACGACAATTTCGGTTACTAAAGTATAATTCATTGAAATTTCTCGATAATGCTCTCAATAATGCTTCGTGTAAACGATAAATACCAAAAATTAATATATAAATTTATTTTCAAGCAAATGCGTTGCGATAAAATAATACACTTCTTGGCATTATGTTATTGATTTATCTACTCTTCCCTAGCTGAACAATCAGTCGGGACGAAATGTTCATAATGTTTACAGCTTACACAAGCATAGTTAAAGTTATTTTTCAGCTTTAACCTCTTTAGGTATTATGGAGTATAGGTGATGAAATATATTCGACATTCTGCCTCCTATAATGTTTATGGTCATCAGACAATTGCCAATCAATCCCATTCCTCGCCATTGACGAGAAGAATTTTCACAGAGAAGTGGTAAGACCTTTGCTCACTCATAAACGTGAATTCGATTAATTATCACGCGCTACAGTTATATCAAAATCCATCTATAAAAACTAATGCAAAAAAACTTTAAAACTTTGCAGAAATTGGCAAATAAATTGGGAAATATTCGATCTTCCCTTCCTCCTGCTTACCTTTCATTACCGACAATAACTTATGTTCCCGCAGGATATCAGTTTCTCAATTATTGAAGATAGCTGATTGGAAATGTAAATGTAAATAGAAAGTATTTTTCATACGAAAATATAAACTATTATTATAAATTTATCGTTGTTAAATAATTCTGTAAAAATTTGATGTGGCCTTGTATTCTAAACATTATTTTAGGTTTGAGTTTGTTACAAATTCTCGATCCCTAATGAGATTCACAAACCTTATTTTATATTTATTTAACTACAATTTAATAGCACTAATAATTAAGAATTTACATCACCGTGGGAATTTATACGTAGTATAGTCATGTGTTAAATTATTATGTTCATTAATTTAATAGTACCGTATTTGTTAATAATACAAACATTAAAGTATTGTAATATGAAGTCGTATTAGAATCGAAAGTTTCAGTTAGAAAAACGTAACGTTAGAAATACCTTCACGACAGTAAGTGTAAAGCAATTTTTAATAAATAATGACAAATTTTTGTAAATTTCAATTTGATTATGAAATTCCAATTTCAAATGAAATATTTGTATTTATGCTGATTTTACTACTGTCTTTCAACTACACATATATTATAATGAATTAAACTCAAAATATGTAATTATCATTTTGCGTTAAAATACTCTTAATAGCCCCATCAATTTTATTCGTGCATATGAAAAAAGTGAAAAATTTAATATTGAAAATAATCGACATTTTTATTTTTATATTTTAAAAATATATTTATCTAATAAATCATACTTTTGTTGAATATTTTTTATACTATTTAAGCTGGTCTGTTCTTTCGTCAATTGAACGAAATAATTTATTCAAGAAAGTAAATTGGACATTAATCTATGTAAGATTCAGGTTTAGAAACTTTATTTAATTTCAAACTTCTTATGTGCAACTTCTAGTCGTATTTTGACTTTATATAATGATAAGAAAAAAAAAACGAGAAATGCGTCGATTTGATTATTTTTCACTGAGAAAGAGTATCTTCATTATAATTTAAAGATGTAATATATATATATATATATATATATATATATATATGACATATTATTGTTGTATTCTTCTAATAAAAATTAATTTTTTATACCTCTTGAAAAATGATTAAATTATTTCATAATATTTTTCTCTGTACTAAATATACACTTTATGTTAATTAAATATTGCTATTAATTTTAATCAATTAAATTAATGCACAATAATATTATTATAAAAGTCGAATTTTATTTATTACAATGTAATATAAATGTGCGCGCGCGCACGTGTGTGTAATGTATCATAAAATATTAGATAGAATTACTATTGTAAATAAATTTTTCTCGTTAAATTTTACATCAGTCATTGTGAAAATTACTATGCATAATTTTAAGACGTTTTTTGGAAATGTTGCATTAGATTATAATCATAACCATTTAAGATATAATGAGCACACCTAATTAAATATGATCTTGCTATATGTCATGTTGCGCTTATAATACAATTCCATAAATGTCCGATACATATCGAAAGTGAAACTGCAGGATTAAATAAATGTGCTAATGTAAATTTATAAGATCGTAATGCCCTGTTACTCAATACAGGTTAGCTAAAAGTTCAATTACCATTATTGTCAAATAATATTGTAATTAAAAAAAAATTATGAAATGCTTTGTTCCAAGTATAAGAAACAGGTTTCTATAAGGCTTGATAATTTCAAGTATATTTACAAGGTCGTATGACGCTTACTTCTTAATCTCTCGTTATTTTGAGAGTCCGACCATTATCCAAACTACTCAGATAATAAAATCATCGTTGCCAAATCCGTGAGCGAACAGTCTAATATCATAATAATTAAAGAACCGTCATTTTTTGTCGACCATCAAAAGTCCCTCAGCGTTACCGATTGCTCTCGTCCAGCCTCCATCCACCGACGATCTCAACTATGTACGACGAAGGTCTCGGCGAAATCCGAGTGCAGTGCTCATTTCCAGCACGCAATCGCGCTAAATGATAATGCCTTTCCCCTTTCGGTGTGGCCTTCAAAATTCTGTCTGTAGGGTGCACTGGTAAGGTAACAAGAATATACGTGGGTATTCGTTTTTTTTTTATTCTTTTTTTTGACTTTTAAATACGGTGTAAAAATACGGGTGCAGCTTCGTTGGAATTCGCCAATGGCCGTGCGAACACCGAAGTACATACATCGTCATTGTGTAATACGAAATACAAGTATCGAACAGAGTTTATTCTTATTGTCAGCCTAAACTGTTATCTTTTTTCTCTTCATTTTCATTACGAACGAATAAATGATTCCGACAAACATTTAGATTATACATGTAATTTTACAGTGATGATTGCAGATTTTTTTTATGTTAATATGAATCGAAGTGAGCTATTTAGAAAAGATGTAGATAGAAGATATTGAAATATGAATAGGAACACATGATAAACGGATAACCCAAATTTTAAGATTCTTAGACTATTGTGTAAATTTTGTTAGGACTCTTACTGCAAAATCGAACATGTTAATATTTTCTTAAATTCAATTAAATGCGCTAAAATTAAATTTATAATAATATCGGATGATATTTATAAAAAATTTTTATAATCGAATAATTTCTATTGGATACTGAAATAATATCTATTGGTAATAGAAACAGATTTCCCATAATTTAACAAATTTTAATATATATTTTCCTGCAATACATTCACTTAACTAGGAAACCATTTTAAAACAATAAAAAGTACGATAAAATTGAAATTGTCAACAAAAAAAAAGAAAAAAGGAAAAAATCGATTGTTAATACGAAGACAATATCATATTATTAGCTTAAAAAACTAAAATATTTTATGTAATATAAAGGGAATTAAAGAAAGACAATATGTCTTCATTTTCAAATGTTAAAAATAATGTAAAAAATTGAACTTATGTACTAAAAATAATTGTTATTTTATAATATATCATTATGGTAAAAGTATACAAAAAGCATTATAAACCATAATTAACAATATGTTAAAATCCACATTGTTGGTTTAAAGCTTAAAGGTAAAACTATGACAATGATATCAAATGTTATACTGCTGTACTGTTGAAAAATTACAGATTTAAGTGATATTTATACCAAATGTTGCCAATAGAAAGATGTAATTTGCTACAAGTTGGCGTTACTTTATGTATGACAAATTAACACGAGCTTATTTATTACAAAATAATAAATGAAGAAGTTATAATGTTAATTATAATTTTTCAATTAACTGAAAACTATCTATTAAATGATTAATCGCAGTTTTGACATTCAGGCGTATAGTTTTCGATTCATTCGATGTCTTGAAGTTTTCGTATATTATAATAATTAGAATATTGAAATACAAATTTGTCGACATGCCTTCTATTTCTAAATTAAAGAAGTATCATTTATTATTTATAATAGAAATATAATGTAATCTAAAAAAAAATTGGTCATTGTTAATCGACTGTTATAAATGTAATTCTAATAATATTGGCATTGAGTACGTTCAAGATGTAATAGGTTATTTGAAAGATTCGCAAGAAAAATGTATCTCCGAAGGCAACTGTAAACGCAACTGTGACTAACATTTGGAAGAATTATAATCATTTTAGTCGTATTTTTGTGGGAAAGGATAAGGGAATGGTGCATTGGTAAGGACGTAACCATATCGTCCAATGGGCAAATACTTCTGAGCTACTGGACTCGGATAAATCTCGTTCTCTGCCGGAGCTTCGTATGTGTGGTAGGATGGATAATGCAAAGGAGATGTCCTGGCAAGTCCTGGTAATGGAAAGTAAGTCCTCGGTGGCGCTTGAACAGCTACAAAAATAATGCTCATGATGAATTTTACTGATTAAATTAGAAACATAAGAATGAGAATGCTTCATTTATACTATTATAAGCTATTTTCTTAATTTATAAAATAATCTTAGATTATAAACATTAATTCTGACGAATGCATTTATGTGGCATCTATTTATGAATGAAATCTTTAAGATAAAGCAATTTATAGAAATCTTAAGCCACGTAATATCAGGTGTAAATTGAAACGCAAATCATTATAATCAATCATTTTTAAACTTTATCCGTATATAATTTTTTAGAAAATTATGAAAAAGATTTGCATTATATTTCTCATCGATGACGCATTATTTTCATTCCAATCTGTATTACGAGACTTTTTAGAATCGCTTTGAAATTACAGTTTTGACAAATTAACCATAAAGATGTATTTAATCGTGTTGAAGTATTTATGTTATAAACAGTTGAAATATATTTAGATTATTAAAGAAAGATTTGTGTCGGATTTAATATGCTTGATTGTTTCATGAAAATCATTTATGCGAATAACTATGAATTTCTTTACAAATAAAAAATATTATTATATATAACGGTTATTTTAACATTATGTCGTTTTTTTTAAATAAACCAAATTACCAAATTATTATTATGAATTGTTGAAAAATGTTTCTTACTACAATTATTATAGTGATTTCCTTAAAATATTCTCAATTATTGTAAATGTAATGCATATGCTTATCACTAACTAATTCCATTTAATCATAAAAAATAAAGTATGAAAAAAAAGAACATTTTCAAATTTCATAAATTAGTTCTTGGACATAAATATGTATACATTATTATTAATAGTAGTTTTCATAAAAATTTATTAGCTGACAATTGAAGCACATTAGTATTTATCCATACCTTTTTCTACATAAATTATATTTGATCAATTTAAGAAAAAATCATCTAATTTATTAATAAACACCACATTTCTTACAGACAATAATTGACTTGGGCTCTATTAATTGATCGTTACAATTTTCAACCATCAAAATTGGCATTTAAATAAAAAACAATTTTATTGTACAAATGGCTCTTAAACACGCGTCGTGCCATAAATACTTTTGTTTAATAGAAAATTACGATAAAAGCTTCGTTAATTTCAGTTAACCATCACAGATTATAATAATGTAGATTTCTCGTTCCTTATCGGCGTAAAAAATGTCTCATACCGGGAATCGGGCTTGCATGTCCGTAGGGTACAATCCTCGGCAGAATTTCGTGCGCCATAGCTCCTCCTGGATGCAGATTTATCTTTGTCGCGACGGGGCTCGTGGGTGGTGCCACCCCCGGCTCCTTGCGGACGACGGCGTTGAAGCCATTAACGGGGTCGGACACGTAATCAACGACGCGTCGGCTGCCGTCCGACTCGATGAAGCTGTAGCCACCGCGCACGATGTCGCCTTCTCGCGTTTCATGCTGGCTCTTGAAGTCCCCGGTAACCTCATCGCGCACGTCGTATCCGTAGCTGTATCGAGGGACTGATTCCTCGACGAGTTGGGGCCTCACGTCGTTGGCTATTGGGAGCGCCGGCTTTACCACCACAGCGCTGCATAATGTCAACACCGCTGCCAGATAAAGTCCGCTAATCTGCAACCGAAGAGTCGTATGTGTTAGTTACGGCTTAACGGAAACTGTCGGCGAACCTGGGAAACTTATGCCAGTCCCGCGATTCGGACCCACGAGAAAATATGATATTGAACGGAGGGGAAGCGCCGACTTAATGTGTCAATTAATGTTACAATCGTCTAAAATTCTTATTGACATTATAAAGGAGTGCATTTGATATTAATTTTTTTTGTTTTTAGATTTTATTATTTTCGTTCTAAAGTATTGTGAAAGTGTGTGTATGAAAGATAAGCGATATTTTATTACTTTTTTAAGCGGTTACAATATTAAATTATGGACTTTTATCGTACGATACTTTTTACATGCAAGACATTTGTAACGATTTTTCTAAAGAGTCAGTTAGACAATCAAAATCGATCTCCAATGTAATCTTTCCGAGCGTTTAGACTTCGTATTGTCATATTAAATGCAATTAGTATGAAGAAACGTGACTTTTTCACTATAAACGATATGAGATCGTGTACGCTATGTTGTTATTGAAATTACACAGAGTCATAAGCTAATGACCAACAATGCTCTTAACAACAGAATTATAATAGAAAAGGCATAATTAGAGAATAAAATGGCAATAAAATTCCGTGAATACGAGATAACGATCCTACCACAAAGGCCATAACTTTATCCAGCGCTAAGCTTTCTGCTTGGTTAGATAAACGGTTAGAGACTGTCTAATCCTTGTTATATACCAAAGGTCCCTTATATACCCCCACGACTAGTAACGAGTATAAATAAAAAGGACCCCACTTACCCAGCCACATGCCTGTAAGCAACAACCTGTGTATTTTTATTTGTACTTTTCGAGAGATAACTCCACGTTACTGGACGTTTTCTATTTAAGGTATAAACGACAAGTACGGTGTGTACTTATGTTATTCTCCAGTCATTTTCGTCGTGTTAATCCATCGCGTGATAGAAGCGAAATATATTGCATCTGCCACATCCGGATTAATATAATGTTTATGTGAAGATCTTGTCGTTTAAAGGTTGTACAATTTATCAAGTTAACTTCAAGATGGTACTTTTATGGAGGCAATTGTCGTAGGATTTTTATCGTCATAGTTGTGAAGAAATGTTTTTTTTACAAAAGCATAGTATGTTACGATTACTGATAGTAAAGTGACATTTACATTATGAAGAAAAAATATATTTAAAAACTATAAATATGTATATATATATATATATATATATATATATCAAACAGGCGCTGGAATCGTTCTAAACGAAGAGATGTGCATAAAAATATCATTATGTCGATTATTGCCGAATTAATCATTAACAGTCGATTTAATGAATAATTAAAGGTGAAAATTTTTAAATTTCAAGAGAATATTATCTATAATAACTTCCATTCTTACAGTTTATGTTGGGAATGTAAATATTGAAGGTTAAATGACCTTTTGAATGTCATTGATAAATTACATTTATAAGGATTATTATAATTTTATTAAAAATTACATTATTGAGAACAAATTATTTTTAAATATAAATGTTGATGTAAAAGATAAATGCAGTCTTACAGGCTATTGATAAAGCGAATAAGCTTTTAAAACATAAATTTTTAATATTAGATCATTAGGATAAGTTTTCGTGCAAAGTTAAGCATCAAAGTGATTCATAAGGGAAACAGGCAATTGCTAATCGAATGCATCGATATTGCATAATTCTTTAAAATAATTAAACGCTTAAAAACGGAATGAGGACAATTTTTATGATTGTCTTTTTCCAATTCATTATAATTATATATTAATTAATTAACTAATAAAAAAATATGCATTTTCGTATTAATTTTCAGATAATTTTTTATAAGATTAATGTTGCAAAAATATATTTTGAGTGCATTTATTAAATTTAATGTCAATACAATTTTGATAATTTCTTCAAATAGTGTCGTGAAAGTAATTAACTGATTAATTATAAATACATTAAATGTTTAAAAATAATTCATTTAAAGTATATTTTTTATTATATTAAATCTGTGCTCATATATTATGTCGTTTATAAAATATCATTAAAAGTTGTAGTTTCACCAAAATAAACGTTAAATATAATTTTATTTTAGTTTTAGTATTTCAAAAATCTTTGATTTTGAAGAAAAATGACTAATTGACATATGTTTTATAAATTTACATGTTATATAATTGTTATATTTACGATTTTAATAATATTAGATTAATTCAATTATTTAAGAAGTACGTACTTTGAATTAATTATCTGAGATATTAAAAATTAATTTCTGAGCATGGATATATATAATAAACTTTAACTATAAAGAAATTTGCAATCAAAGAATTAGTAATCATTAAAATTTCCCAATATAATTAAATCCGCAATTGATGGATGTAACTTACTTGAAGAACGGACGAATGAAAAAAAAAGTGACAGTGATAACGGAGCGAAAGTTGCACTCGTTCGGAGGAGACAAATCAAGATTTATTTTTTACCGTGCGATAACTCTTACAGTGACAGATAATTCGCATTGTACGTATAAACATTGTTGCAGCTCTTATTGAGTTATGGAATCTTCTAACCAAGGCATTTCTTCCATACGCACTACATCTTGTATCTTGCACCGCCTTTTATTGCAAAATATTTAACTGACATGTATATCTATGTGCTCGAATACCTCTCGATAATCACTGTATGTTAGTGGAAATGTATGTTTGTATGTTTTTCCCATTTTTTCTACGCTTTCGAAAAGTACCAATAGAAACAATATTTCGTACAATTGCTTTAATTGCCAATTGCGCTAATTAGATTGAATTTTTACTCGATTTTTAAAAACTATTGCCAAACATCACATATTTATCAATTAACTGTATACTGTACGAAGCATCTTGATTTTCATTGATATATGAATATGATTGTATTTAATGAATGATTTTCTTTCGACAGGTTTTCTTCACTTGAATTTAATAAAAATACAAATTGATAATTGAAATATGAAATTGTAATTCGTGTACTTAAATTAACATTCTTGTCATGGCTATTATTACAATCCCATTTTAGAAATATATATTTTTATCAAACATAAACATTCTAAAATTCACTACATAATATACAATATGTGCATGTACTTCGATAGTATAATTTTATGTAATGAGAAGCCACTTGGAATTCTTGGTTTACCAATTTGTACTCGTTATCTACTTGAAATAAAATTAAAAAAAAAAGAAAAAAAAGAAGAAGAAAAAAGTACAAATTTATTGCAATCGTACGATCGGAACATATTATTATAAAAGCAATGAGTCACTTGCTTACACAACAAATTCATTGAACTCACTGAGTACGCTTACTGTGTAGAGGAAATGGAATAAAAGGAAGATACTGGCGAAGATGCTTGGCTCATTTTCATTTAGCCCGCAGCCAGGTAAACGATCGCTTAATGGTCGTTTCTCTCGTTTCACGGTCAAGCTTGTCAGAAGATATATATCCATACACTCGAACAGATTGATGTAAGAATTAAAAAAATCATTGTTATTGCGGAATGAGTTTGCGATAGGTTTATTTGCGCTTGTTAATGAATTCACGTAATAAAATCGTTACGATCGTCGCGAGGAAAATGATCGTAACATTATTATTCCCTTTTGCTATAAATTTGACTAGTTAAAATGAAAGTTTGAAAAAGTTCGGAAATAACTAGCGTTTCGGCGGAATTTTCCATTTTTTCTACTGATGAAATTTTTAATGTACTATTGAATAGCGACTCTCCAAACTATTCTTTCGAACAATTATTAAAGTACTATTGAATAATAAATAGAAGCACCATATTATTAAATATCTTCATGGTGATAAAATGAAAAAGAAATCGGAATTTAATTGTTTAATGATGAACGCGTCAATTATACAAATGTAATTGCAATACATTTTCATAAATGTATAATATTCTTAAAATAAAATATATTATATATATATAATATATTTTATAATATATATTTATAATATATACAATATATTATATATATAATATATATAATGTAATTATATTTTCTGTATACTGATACTCGAAAATTATTTTATACGCTTTATAAAAATACTTAATTATTATTATTATTATTATTATTATTATTATTATTATAAATTACAAAGATCTTTCCATTGGTGTTGAAAAACAATGATCAAGCAGCTTTAAAACATATACTAATATTAATATTAATTACAACATTTTGTTCGATAAACATGTAAACATTAATAGTGTATTGATAAAGTAAAATTTAAGACTATTTGGCTGATATTATCTTCATTATCAATATTTTACTGATCTACAGTTTCTAAATGCACTGAAAACGAACATATTCTTATTAATTACTAAATAATATTTGTAAAGATTAATCTTGGCATAATCGTGCATTTTCATAATAACTATTACTTTCTTAATAAATAATTGCATCAATGAATGAATTAACGAAGGAAAATTAAATAATAGATATATATGTATTTAAATACATTTAGGTAATGAAATGCAATTAAAATTGACTTAATCTATGCATCTCCGCGTCGCTATGAGTGTTACTGGAACTTAATTACAAATTCTTTACAAGTAGAAATAAACATTTACATATTTTATTTACCTTATAATTGATTTGAAGTTCAAGACGACATCGACTAGACTACTTTCATTCTCGCGCAATAGTATGTGAAAGTGATTGACTCTTATGAATATTAAATATATGTGCATAAAGTATCCATTACCTACAACCATTTATATACAATAAAACAGTTTCAACTTATCGGCTACCGTTTCCATCTTTTGATAAATGATGGCAAAATTTAAGACATCTTATTAATAAAGTGTAAATTTTGTAATTAATTCGTTATATAATTATCTGATGTTTTATTATGTTTACAAAATTTAAAATACTTTATATACTTCATATTGGTCTAACATTAAAATGTCATAATTATATTTAAAATACTTTGTTCTTATTACATCTCAAAATTTAATTAATATTGACAATTTGGCTTTTAAAAACAAACTTGAAATGCTTTTTTTAAGGATTTTGAAGATTTTTTTTTTAAACCTTTACGTAATTATATAAACAACAGAATATTATATTATTAGAGTTATAAACATTTTTTACTTCCATAAACTTCTATGAAGCTTCTTTATTTTAAAATTTAATAATAATTTCAATATTTAATAAAAACTTTAATTAATTATTGTATAATAAAGTAGAGATTGAACATTAAAAAATATGTACCCTATAATGGATTTTAGAGCCTAAAAAAATTTCAGTTGATAAATTTATTCTTTCGGAAAAGAAGAATATGATCGAGTACGATGTTGAATGAAGTAAAAGCACTATTTATGCTTGTAAGGCATGCAATTGACCTATTCAATAATAAATTTTGCACTCTGAAAATTCATTTCATATTATACCTTGATGTCGATTCAATTTTAAACTGATTAAATTTTCAAATTAAACTTTGCGATATCGAGATGTGAAAGGCTCGAATGAAAATGCATTGAAGCGCATATATGGACGGACAAAACTATACACAAGCGCGCGCACGCATGTATTACATGACATTTGTAGGTCGTTACTGCGTATTGCTTTTGTATTCTGCAGAAGTTTTCCGAGTGCGCTCAATCAGACATGACGGAAGCGCTACACTTACGCGAAATAATCAAAATGTCCTTACGTAATGGTGAAAGCATGTTTGCTTATTTTATTTTGAAAAGATATTAACCATCGGAGATTATTATCATATTTATTGAAGTATTACTCGCCAATTTGATTATTTTAGTTTACAGGAGATAGATTTTTCTTTTTTTTAACGTAGTTACTGTGGCGGAATTGGCGAGCTTTTATTTCTTATTGAAATGAAGTGAATTTAAATATAACGGAAAATTAAAATTATGAACATGAAGCTAGTATGACCGATGCACCCTATAATGATTCGTAAGACCTTATGTTTCCACAAAGAAATGTGTCCAATACTTTTCTTGTTCCTCGTTTAGTTAAATTTTTTAATTGGCCAAGCTTAGGCGAGTGGCGAAAGGATCACTAGCAAAAGGATTCTTCGAATATTTTAATGTCATTAGCATTGTCATAAGTGTGTCGAATGCGACAAAAACACTCTCACTACACCTTTTGGAACCCTAACTTGATTCTTATCCATAAAAACGTGCCTTGTGCCAACTTTCAACAAAAATATTTCAGAAGAAGAGCACACGTGAGTTTAGTGAAACTTTTCCAACCACTTGACTTTGCGATTTATGAACCAATCACGTACACGTGCTTTATACATAGCCAATCGCATTCCTATAAATACTTTCGTAGGCTATCATTCGGACATCAGTCTTACATTCGACACCTCCGACTCCAACCACTTCGTACTTCTCATTAATCAAGAAGAGGGAAATGGCCACGAAGGTGATCATCCGACATTCCCAATTCCTAGCCGCGGAAATCGTGTGACAATTGTAACTGTCTAAAAATCAGTGAAATAGTGTGCAATACTGTGTCAATTATTCGATGGTTCGATTACTCTTTCCTGTTATTAAACGAAGAACTTGAATCATATAAAAATTTTTATGCAATTGATATTTCATTTTATACAGGCGATACAATTTAATTACTTCTTCAAATTATTAGTTTAAATACATTATTTGATTTATATGGGAGAAGTCTTTTTAAAAGCAGATGTTTATATATAAAGAATCACCCACGATAAATTTCGTATTGTCATTCGAATTTTTCGGCAATATTAATTGGTATTCATTTTATAATTTACACCATAAAATAGATTATAGAACATCTTTCGCTATTGCATAAAATTTGATCAAACTGCCTGACACTATAATTGAATAAACTTCTTCGTGCAAATTGATCGATTGATAATCAATCATTATTAATTTATTACAAATCATAATATCATTTATTAATTTTCAAGGGAGTTTATTTGTTCATTACTTTCATTTTATACATTGTATAAAGTACGTACATAATCCTTACTTTGGATATTAAATTATATAGAATTATACAAAAAACTATTCGATAGACGTAAGGAATGCAACAATCTTTTCAAGCGAATATTTATAATAATTTTATATATATATATATATATATATATATATATAGAATAGTAGTAGTAATCATGCTGTTTGGTGTTTGGTGGAACTAAGTGCGCTTTTAATCAGTTATAATGGAAATGTATCTAAAAATTTAATGATTTTTATCATTTTATTGCAATTCTAGACCTTAAAGTAACAAGTTAAAAAAATATCAAACTTAAGATGTATATATTGTGCTTTATACAGAAACTATATGCTATAACAAGTAATATTAATGAATTACAATGATCAAGTTCGTAAACGGAATTTACGAGATCCGCGTAAAAGCACGTGGAATAGTATTAAAGCAATGGCGTCGATACTAATAAATAGGGATTAAGAATCATTTCACCATAAATTTGACAAAAAATTCACGATAGTCGCGCGATATTAATGCACTAATAAATGCTACAATGTTCTGAATGTCATTCGGTAAAATGGCAAATTCTCCTTGTCGGTGTTGGATCTCTAATTAACCTTCATCTAACTCTATAACCTGCAAAAAAAGGGAAAAAAACCATTACCAGATACCATTCCAATAAGCAAGCCTGCATTATCGTCTCCAGGTAATAATAGCAATCCTTGGGACGATGTTCGTGGCGAGTAAAGCCGGCCTCTTACCAGCGCCAGTAGCTGTGGCTCCGGCCCCTGTCGCCATAGCCCCGGCCCCGGTCGCCTTCGCCAAGTTAGGAGAGTATGATCCCCACCCTCAGTACTCCTATGCATACGACGTGCAGGACGCATTAACCGGGGACTCGAAGAGCCAGCAGGAGACGCGCGACGGCGACGTCGTCCAGGGCAGCTACTCGCTCATCGAGGCCGACGGCACCAGGCGTATCGTCGAGTATACGGCCGATCCTGTCAACGGCTTCAACGCCGTTGTGCATCGGGAACCGGCGGTGATAAAGCCAGTGGTGGCAGCGGCAATACCGATCGTCGAGAAGCACCATCCCCTGGTATTCCATCGCTAGCCTCCTCACACGAGCATCGCCTATGTAGTTTCCTAGTCAATGTGCGATAAGTTGTGTGAGTGGCGTAAAGCCCGCGTGCATTCAAAGTGATTTACTTATTGTTATTGCTTGTAATGTTAATGTTAGAAGTACTATTTTAATAATTAAATTTTTTATATAAAATGCAAAATCCTGTGGTTGTTAATAATTATGGTATACTAAGGTTCCTCCTCCTCTCCAGCGACGATGCAGCACAGTTTCTAATTTGCGATTTTCGATTAATTGATAAACATTCAATCGACTTTATTACGCGAATTAAACGTTCGTATCATATTGCCATTTCTATCAAAAGTGATAAATAATTATAATAAGAAATAAGGTAAATAATTACAAGCGGACGTTAGGAAATTTCGTTTTTACAGTGATTGGCGGATTGTGGAGTGTGAAGTGGGGAGTGGGGAGTGGACAAATGTATATAAGATATTAGCGTTATCGGTTAAAAGGTTGAAGATTTTTCCGTGACAGTTCACAAAGTATTTATTACTTTTTTTTACTGCTGTATACTTTTCGTGATAAGATCTCAATGTGGATGAGAGGCAATTTTGTTATTGGCTTTTTTTTTGTACCGACCGTCGTTCTTCGTGTCGCCATGTTTATCGAAGATAGGTTTTCCTTGATAATCTTCCATTTTTTACTTCAATTAAGTATCATTTATTATAGAAAGTATGACATTTCCAAATACATAAATTAGATAAATATTAATAGTTCGTATATTATAGCTGAAAATTCTATTACAATTATAAAACTTTAAAATTCAGTAAATTATATTTTTTTTATAAAAGCGAGTTTTTCATTGATTATGTTCATTGTTCTCCTTTTCAATTGATTTTATTTCATTATTTGCTTTGTATTTATTTGCATGTATATACGCGAAATCATTAATAGACTTTTAGAACTTTACACATCATTAGTTACAGGCTGAATTCAATTTATTTTCATCAACTCGCAAATCGAAATTTAATATGTCAGAATTCGTCCTTGTAAACCATAAATAAATATTGAAATAAAGTTTGATAATGGCATATTTGTAAAAATGTAAGTACTTAGAGAATATTGCCATTGAAGTTGAGTCGTAATGTCGAATAACTGCCAATTTGAGCCCTCAACAGATACCCGAACTGAGCAATAAACTGCTCCTTGAGTTGTAGAAATTTTATTTTCAACATTATGTCGATTCGATATATTAATTAACGATCTGCCTTAAGATTATGCTATAAGCGATATAATTTATATTATTAAACGAATAAATATGTGTATATTGTACTATCATTTCTATTAGATAATTCATTGAGAAATAGCATATCTTGTGCTTTAAAGACTCAATTAAAGTCACATCATTGCATCTTTAATGTTTAATTCGAATAATTTACCATACAACTAGTAAGAAGAATTGAGAATTATATTGGAGCTACTTTCTTCAGCTATTAAGCTTTTTTGAGTAGCGCAGAAGCTTTCAAAATTTTTTAGCAATTTTGAATGCAAATAGAGTCCTACTTTCGTAAAGGTGGGACTAAGAACAACGTAAAACAAATCGAGAACGAAAGAAAACTTACGAATCATGAAGTCCAGCCAAAAGTTACTAAATTATTGCACGTGATGTCCCAACATATCGTGCAAAGCATTTTCATGAAGTTTGTACAACTAGTCCATGATCACTTGACATTGAATCGGATACCGCCACTCTTACAAGTGCACACGTAATTTCACACGTGCTCACCCACACATTTTCAAATATTTTCACAAATTCTTTCGCAAAGTTAACTAAGTATATACGAAATAAATATCTGTAACTTTAAATCTAATGTTTTCATATAGGCAAGTAATGACGATTAATTTATAACTTCTTTCTATTTCTTCGAAATATCTTCACGTAAAAAACAGCATTGCTGCAAACACTAAGTCATTAGTTTATTTATCATTTTTAGTTTTATTACAACATTAAGATTACATCATTAGTTTATTCATATAATTTCTAATTATTAAATCTTATAAATTATGAGTGTTTCTTATTCTCTCTTGATATATATTTAGATTTAAATTGAGATATTTTTTAGAAACTAATTTATTGTTTATGTACTTGATTTGGCTATTTGCAAGAACTACATACTTTAAATTGTAAAGTTTGTACTTGTACTTGTACTTTAAATAGATAATTGAAGAAATTTTTAACTCTTTTTTATAAAGTTATTTTATAAGAAATTTTAATACTTATCTATATTTTGTTTTATTTAAATAGAGATAAAATTATATATAATCAAATTTATATAATAAACTTATAAATAAAATTATATTTAACTTAATTATATATATGCGAAAATAATGTGCATACATGTTATATATTATGTCGTATTATTAAATATTAAATTCTCTGACATATGCGCCATTAAAATACTGTTAGCACCATCTTTCCAGGGTTTGCTGAACTAATATTTGTACACCAGAAATCAAGGACGAACATTCCTGATTTTTGGGCAGATTATGCCTCGTCTCTCATATGAGAAAATATTTTCGTACTTTTTATTGATGACTGGTTAAGTTGATAATGAGACCTTCATCGACTAAACGATACTTTCAAATACAATGGATTAAATTTAATAGCCAAGTATAACAATAATTAACTGATAAAATCTATTCACAAATGCATTTATATAGCTATTAATAACTTGACTAATATATTAAAAAAAATTTTCATTTTAATTAAGTTATTATCGGTAAAATTCGAGATTCTTACTTGGATTTATACAAGCTGAAATAGCTGAAAATAATGAAACTTTATAATATGTAATTTATAATATATATAAAATTTATAATATATATTATAATATAATGAAAGGTTATAAAAATTATATTAAAAAGTAAAAAATAATTGTTGCTGGTATTCTTATAATATTTTTTTCGAATGTTGGCAAGACAATAGAAGTTATAGCAACATTAAATTTATAAATTTTTAAAACTTTTAATCATTATTTCAATCGGACACATTACCTATAAATTTCAAATTCTCTTTATTTCACTTCAATGATTATAAACTAGTTAATTATAATTTCTTTTTTTAATTTTAAAAAATAATATTAAAAATTAAAAAAATTGATAAATAATTTTACACTTCAACTTAATGTTTTGATAACTGTAAAATGATGCAAATTATTTTAAAAGAAATTTCTTTTAAAATCACATCTTTTTGCATGTCCGTAAAAATTCGGAAATTATCGCAAAATTCCTATCAAGCAATGATTTTCGATTACTTTCAACATATTCACTGATTAAATTTCATCTGAGTAAAAAATAAAACTTGTTTGAAGATATTTATTCGTGTTCCTAATTTTTTATATACCTAAAACCTACCGATGTTGATAAAAACTTATTCTTATTAATACTAACCTTCTGCAACGTAAAGAAAACAAAATTTTACTGCAACTTGTTAATAAAAAAATATTAATACGTAAATCTCATTGAATTGCAAATAAAAATTATTAATTTTATTAATAGTATTTTTAATAGATTCAGTTATATGTATAATTATTTGATTGTACAATAAACTTATTTATAAGTAAGATAATAGGAAACTTACCTATAAAAAAATAAACGAAATAGCTGAATAGAAACTATAGCATTTTTTAGCATTGAAGTATCAAATAATACTTTTATAAAGTTGTCCTGATTTATAAAGTTAGCGTGTGTATATGTATGTTTTAAATATTAATATCACCTGTCCATTATTAATTAACACATGAATTATAGATTAGCAAGTGAAATAGGGAATGTATAGTATGTAATGAAGATATTTATATCTGATATACTATTCAATAATAACGATAATAAATTTAATAAATAAAAAAATTAATTATATCAAATAGTGCAGTATAAAATGCTCTAAAACTACGTAAATGACAAATAATAAATAACAGTAATAATAACTTGATAAAATAGAATAAATGTTGAAAGTAGTATCCCAAACTTTTACTGACTGTAGATTTGAAAAAAAATCAATAATATACTAAAATGAATCGCCATAAAAATAATAATATTGTTCGGAAAATAATCCCACAATTTGACTAGTCGGCCAAAACGTGCAATAATTAACGTAGAACAATAAAACCCACTAGATGTTATGTGGGGTTGCCGGGCAAGTAAAGGGTGAATGCACTGATTAATAATTAACACATGTCTTTATTATTTCTATTTATTTGAATTGATTTACAAAAGGGTGAATTACAGACGAACTTTATATTTCTTGATAATCTTGTGGTGTTGAAATATATTTACTATGAATGAAGCAGGTTATAATCTATTGAATATTATCACTAAGAGGTTATCTCTATTGAATATTATCGCTAAGAGGTTATCATGATTGTAGTGCTCTGATCGAACACTGGAATGCCATTGTGTTTATCTTAACACGTGTGTAGTTGCCTTTAAATATCGGTCGTAAGAGAGCCGAGATGGAGGTTATGCGAAGCTGTGCGCCATCTGTGGCTGGAACAACTTGCAGTTGGAGGGATTGAGAAGCCAATGTGGCGTTTATAGCTGGTCTTGTTCAAGAGTATGTCCGGGAAGCTTCCGTAGTTGGACTTTATCCGTCCGTCTTCTACATAAGCCGAGAAATCAAGAATGAGTACTAGCTGTAAGGACTTACTTGCAGTGTATCGTGATTTTCCAGTCTCTCTTCGATGGCTTGTTATTACGTTCCCTTGCAATGTTGCAACCCTTCAGTTCTTCCTTGTCTCCAAGTGAGACCACAAGTGGTCAGGTCCCACGCAATCCAGTCTTGATGAGATCAATTCAACTGTACACTAATTCACAATAGTGGAAAGAACTTATTATTAAAACTCAGCTAGCTAAACGATTCATCTCTCCGATCCTCCTCCGTGAGAATAGGTCATGACTTATCCTTCACTGTAAGAAGTATTTGGAAAGAGTAAGTGAGGGTACATTACGTAGTCCCTTCTTAAAATGATTCACTGATCCCGCTCCACTTGGGATCCCTTCTTCCTTTATTAATTAACCAATCAGTGGTTGATCTTGGGTCGCACAATAGATTATGCACGCCTTCATTTCCACT